ATTTCAATCAAGTGCAAATTATTTCATTTAGTGCAAGTTTTAGAAATATTTTTATTTGAGAAAAGTCCTTTTAAAGGAATAAGTTGCGATTGAGGATATTTATTTATCAATATTTCCAATTTAGTTCAAGTTTAGAGTGTTTTCTATTCATTTGGGAAATATAATTATAAAGTAACTGAGTGTATTTTGTTTACTTGTGCCTAATTTAAAAAATTGGAAAATTGCTTCTTGTGAGAATATAACTATAAATTGAAAAATATTTATATTAAATATTCCATTCCAAGATTTCTTACAGAAAGCATGATATAGTGATGTAATGTGACGTCAGTGATAGTAAACGTTGCTGATATAAAATAACCAGTGAATAATTAATGTGATTGAACCACCCAGAGATAATCAATGAATCTATTTGATGCCAGACTTGTCAACATTCTAATTGTTTTACGCGTGGAGAAGAGAGATGTTATTTCTTGACTTAACTCAGGATCATTCATACAGAATTTTGCTCATTTTGGACTTGAAATTAGGTTTGATTTGTGATTTAAGCATGTAAGAGTTTAGCTTGATATCGTTAATAGTTTTTCATTGATTCAGTGAAATAAGAATTGGGATATAGCTATGTTTTTGAAAAGCAATAAGAGTGTGATGTAATATTGCAGGAAGGATTTAATTCTATACATTAGAGTATTATAAGACAACACTAGATATTTAATTCAGGGGCAGATAGTGTATCTGAGACAATAACTTTTAGAAAATTTGTAACGAAACATATTGATGGATATTACTGATTTATATTAGAAAAGATTCTAGCGTAAGGAACCGATCATTGAGATGATAAATGGACATTGTTTGATGAGATATTGACCAAATCAGATTATACAGAGGATGAAGATAAATGTCAGGTATTAATTATTATCCTATAGGTATGATGAGTATGATTAATTATTCAGTGACAGGTATGATTAGATGTGGAATTGTTCACCATCAGAGTAGAGTTATGAAATGCTGATAATGTTCAATGATTATTATCAAGGAAGCCATGATGGAAAGCTGATTCGATAAGTTAACGAATATTTTGCTACGTGGATTTTTCTCTGGTTTGTTACCTCTTACATGAAGGAAAAAATAAATGGAATTTATACCAGATTGCCTTGGGATTAAGAAGACTTGTGAAAATATCTTGAATTGATATGGAAAGTATTGAATCAATGAAAGCAACATCTTCATATTTCATTGTACAGGCTGGTAAAACATTTGAATAATTTGTATTACACTGTGCATGGAATGTGAAAAACTTTTCAACAATTTACATCATAACCTGTGATAATGGTATACTCTTCATCAATTTGACGTTTTAACTCAATTGCTTTCATCTGAATTTTACAGCCTATATCAGTTTACACTTGTAATTTACCTTTTCTCAGGATTCTATTTGTGCAATTTTCACACAATGGTGGATAAACAATTACCTCAATAGGCCTATATGCAGCAATTTTTATGAACAGCTTTTACAAAAACTTTAATATTGGGCAGCAAAATGATCGATATTTCTATTTCTTCATATTCAATATTTTTAGTCAAATAGATAGAAAAAGACTTTGAAAATATGTGCCTTTAACTCTACTCTTTTGAATCAAAATAAATGTCCAAAAAATGAAATATGTATAGCTGAAACTTAGTATTTAGTGTAAATGATACAGAAACAATCAGTGTATGTTCTGATACAGAATGCATCTGAATGCAGTATATGATGTAACTGAATATAGAATTTATCAGAGGAACATGAGTAATAGTGATATAAAGTTGTTTTAAAATATAGAATCCAAAATTGATAATCTTGCCAAAATGACGTATACTCCTCTTCTGGACTGTGTGGACTTAGTGGAAAACTCTGACACGAGTCAACTAACTTTGGATTGGGTTCGGAAACAACAGGCCTTCTATCAACCTCCCAAAATACATTCTTTCCTGACTCCCCTTGCTTCCAATCATATCCGGAAACTATCTGGAACATATGTAGCTTCGTATAAACCTGTCACATTTGCTTCCCTGTCTGTAGATAAAGAAGGAACCAATGATCAACTTTTTGTTCAAGGGTAAGATTTGACTTTTTTGATATTTGTCAGAAACAATTCTATGTCTTTAATTTAATAAGGGTAGTTGATTTCCCAGTTTCTATTCTTTTTTACCAGAAATTATTAATGTTATAAAGAGTCAAAGCCTTGAAAATTGAACAGTTTCCATTTTTGATCACTTTTTTTGCCATAAGCTGCATTTACACTGCCAAAGATCATCTGTGCCAAGTCTGGACTGGCAGAAAAAGGGCAGTGTAAACAGGTAGAGATGGTGTTACAGCTACACAAGAAGAGGTGATCTGTTTATTTCCTTTCTTTTTATTTTCTATTTTATTTGTATGTAGGGGTTTGTCATAAGATTAGTTGATATAACAAGATATATGTGTATGTATTATAATCTTCAGTTCATTAAAATTGTCTGATTATTGATTTAGTTTGATTCATTTGTAACAGTTATTTTCAAGGATCAAAGGACTTTAGTGGGTGTGGTTGATTCAGATTGTTTGAAATGATCTTATTCAAATCAATCGTTACTAGACTCCTGCTATAGTTTGTTTTGGTGATAACATTCTCTGACTTAGTTTCTACTGAAAATGTGGATATTTATAAATAGATTATTATCAAGAAGTTTCTTCTGATTTACACACATCAGATGTGTAAACATCTATGTTACATGGATAACAGTTGACCCTTAGAAAATCTCTTGGCAAAGGACTTTTCCAAGTAATTTCAAACATATTTATACCCAAGTATGGAATTAAGGTGTTAGGTCAACTAAATATTAAGAAAAAAATCTAAGATTAGAACTGTAACATTTTATAACATAATCACACATAAGACATTACAAGATTTCAAGGGAACTAAGCTGGTAGAAAGGATTAATTGAACCCTAATATAGATGTCTCTTCATTTTAAATAAAAAGTTGGTTGCCAAAATATTACAAAAAAAGACAAGTGTAAAAGCTAGGTAGAATATTTTATGAATGTCTATGTTAAAGTATCATACTGTTGAGATGTGATTTATGAGTTATAGAAAATAATGTTTCGGGATAGATTGTGTTTGGTAAATAGCGATTATCTTTCCTTGTCTTGTAAATCTTCCATGAACTAATTTATATAATATCTTGATACTTTAATCTCTACACCCTAAATCTCCTTTATTACCACCTGATAACAAATTGTTTCAATATTTTTGTTAAAACAACCATTTTTTTCCAGTTGATTACAATGAAAAGCATTTGTTTACCTCTTTGTGATTGTGCATTTTCACTCAAGTCTTGTCACTGTCTTGTCATTTTAACATATAGCATAATATATTGTCACCGTTTGTTATCAGCCAAGGAAACTTGCCCATGTATGCCAAATTGTTAACCATGCAGCAGGATATGATTTTACATAGGATAGTCAGTTTGTGATAGTGCCTCTTTAAAGAGTAAGGATAAGTCTTAGTATGTAGGATTACCATAAGATAATCTATAGCCAGGTATTAACGGAAGATTAACAGTTAACAATATGTCCTACTAAATTTGAATACAAAGGTCTTATATTAAATTGCTATGTGGTGTTTTTAATGTGTGAAAGGTGTCCTAATGAGAAGTCGTTCCTTCCCATTCAGAGAAATTTTTGGAAATAAAAATGATTTTTTGGCACAGGTAAATTATTTTATTTGTCAAGACTAAATCATTGAAACAATCATAGTAAATTGTGTGCAAATTGATACATAGTCTTAACAACATTGGATCTGTTTAATAGAATTTTGACAATTCCTGTCAACTATTTTTTCTGGGCACCAAAAAGTTTGATATGACTGATAATTGATTTTCTGCGAAAAATTTAAAGTGTTAGTCATTCAATGATCTGCTTTTTACATTATTCTCATTTCTGAACTAACAGATATATGTATCAACAGAGGCTAAAAGTCATTCAGGTTCACAATGTTCATTAGAACATATCTAATTACACAGTGGGGCATTTGTGATCAAATCATAGACTTGAATTGATGTTATTTCTATTGATGATAATTATTATGATTTCTAAATGCACAGTAGGATGCCCATGTGCAGTTACACCTGAATTCCGGTAATTATATAATTACACTGTAGGATATTCCTATTACACCTGCCTAACCTAACGAAACCAATTACCTTGTCAGTCGGTCAGGTGACATAATGTTTCTGTTAGGACTTGTTCTGCATCATGCAAATATTACTCTCTGAAACTAGTTCGAATTTTAGACCTCAGTTTTGGATTCTTGCTGCTTGTGGTGAAACATCAAGCATAGCATTAACTTTTTTCATACAATAACTTTTGGTATGATTCAGTTTATGGATTTATTTTGTGGATTATAACATTGTGATATATGTGGAAGGATTTACTTTGTTTGAAAATTAAGTAGACTAATCAATGATCAAAGTTTAAAGTGATATTATTTGTTACAGTTTGTTGTGGCCAATGGTCATGGGTAAGAGATCAAAGTTAGGTCAATTAACATGTAATTAACAATTTACTATGAAGTATGAAACAACTGACAGTTATACTGATGATCAGAGGATGTTTATAACAGTTATCATATATAATACTTGTTACTGTGATCTATAGGAATTCTGCTTCAAGACATAATGTCATAAGAGATAGCAAAATGTTTATCTTGTGTCTCTATGGAACAAACGTGTGTTGATATGACCATATTTTTTTTCTTTTGAGTTATAGTTTGTATCTAGAATATGAAACAATAATGGATTTATTTATTTAAAAGGAAAATCCAGAGTAAAGACTGCTATCAATTGAAATTTTGAAACCGATGACATTAAGGATAGTGCACATTTTGTTCTGGATTTTGATGTAGTTGTGTTGATAAAAAGCATCTGCAATGTTACTTTAGTGTAGTTGTACAATTTCAATTGATCACAGGAACTCATTGAAAAAATGTTGATGCAGCCAATTTCATGGCCTGTTGCAAGATATTTAGAACTAGATTCAGTGAAGGAACCAGGATCTGTGACAGATTATTTGAACAATTACAAAGATGGTTTGGAATCTGTATCACTAGCACACCTGTCTGTTCCTGTTAGGTTTACCTTACCTCCAATTATCTGTATCAGTGCTCAAATACATGACAGGTTTGTAATAATTTTAGCTTTTACAGTTTTTAGCTTCCAGATCCAGACTACTGATATCATGTTTTTATAATTAGTTTTCATGAAGACAACTTTCTTCATCACACACACTTTATGATATTCATCTTTAAATATTAGCCCACTGAAGAGTACAAAGAAAATTTCATTCGTTTGTGGTCATTACCAAAACCATCTCAGAAACCTAAACTGTAAAAGGTTCAGGTTATTGAACTTCTATGTTACAACCAGCAGATAATATGATATACGACTTGAAAATCAAGACAGAATTCTATTTTAGTCTACAAGACTGATAAGATTTCTATTTCTGATTCTTACTTTTCACAGTTTATCATACAAATCAATAATTGTTATCAATAAAATACAAAGGGTCAATTTCCTTTCTGTGTGTTATGTTTTGTTTCTTATTTTATGAAATTGAATTCAAATCACTTAAAATTTACTAGTAATAATATCAAATCGAAATTGTTACCCCCCATGATATATAAAACATATCATTTAAGGGATTCAAGAGAGGTTTTTGAACCTTTACACCATTCTGGTTTCCGTCAGTTTTTACTGTAGTTCCTAAACTTCCAGAAAGACTTGGACTATATTTGTCCACTTTAGTACCACTTTATGACCATTAGTAAAAAGATACATGAAGCATTCTGTTCCTCCCTCGCTGCTGCTAGTATTTATGTTGTTAAGGTGTTAAAGAAGGAATAGTGATAATAACTGGCAATTGATCATTGTCATGTTTTTCTGTAATCATCCTACAGTACCTCTATAGTTTTGAGTATCTCTTTAAGATTTCTTCTAGATGCAGTGGACTAATTCATGATAATGGAATATGTAAAATAGAAACCCTTATATTTCAGAATATGCATAATTTTAAGACCATTTTCTGCAGAAGCAGGAACAAAATAAACCCCTTTTACATTGTCAATGGATGAACTGAGTGTACAGTTAACAAATCAGCCCATCTTGAGTTGGTGGTCAGGGAATTTTTCTCAAAATAGATTGTTATAAATGACAACCATTCTGAGAAAGAAGTCAGCAAGTCATATTAGGCCGAAGTTTAAAAATTGTTGGTATTGTGTTTATATTTGGGTTACTTGTCAATTTCAGGAAAGGTTTTCAATCTACGAAATCCACATATGATGATGTCACTTCCTGTAAACCTTTACTACAGAGTGTAGGTTTACACCATTCATTTAGGTAAGTTTGGAAATAACAATCTTGACCAAACATTGAAAACCACAAACTTGATCTACCCTTGGAAACCTCAGACATTGGAAATTAACACTTATACCTCAAACTTGACCTAACATTGGAAACTCAAACTTGACCTAACATTAGAAACTTCATACTTGACCTAACATTGGAAAGTAACATTGGAAACCTCAAACTAGACCTAACATTGGAAACCTCAAACTTGACCTAACATTGGAAACTAACATTGGAAACCTCAAATTTGACCTAACATTGGAAACTAACATTGGAAACCTCAATCTTGACCTAACATTGGAAACCTCAATCTTGACATGACAATGGAAACCTCAAATTTGACCAAACATTCAAACCAAAAACTTGACCTATACTTTTTCTACTGTATTGCTTATTGTTTTCTGATAATATTTGCATCAAAAGAGTTGAAGTAGACATTGGTCATGCAATTTAAATTTTGAGTGACTGAACCATGTTAAAATTTTTTCAGTAGCTCTAGTGGTCGCTCTTCTCCTACCTCCTCAGATCATACAGTTACACCTGGATTATCTGGACTACATGGTGGCTGGATAACTGGGAATTCAACAGAACGAAGCAGTCTTGGTTCATCTTACTCACTTGATGTAAGTATTGCATATCAATAATGCTTTGTTGCTAACCCATAGTAATGAAAACAATAACACTTGTCTGAGGCTCCAAACTTATCTGGAAGTATAGACATGAAAATAAATTTTACTTGTCAAACTTCAGTAGGGGGGTCTAGGCTGAAAGAGGTCAGTTGTCTTGTCTGTAGGTCACACAATGTGAAAGTCTGAGTAACAGGTATCTCAGTGTCTGAGCTGATATAAAACATTTGAAAGCCATTTTGTTTAATCCAAAAATGTTTCTCACATGTTTTAAGAAAATACTTGTGAACAATCAACTTTGTGACATATTTGGTAATATTACTTTAATCTTTTTTTTTTCAGGACATAGACCAACAAGCCTCAAATACAGTAACAAAACATTTTGAAAATATCAAATCAGTTTTATTTGAGGGAGAGAATTCACTTCCTTCATCAGCCAATACATCTCAGGTGTCTAGATCATCTCAATCATCAACTATACGAGAATGTCAGGAATGGAGATCACAATTTCATCATCTCAGGTTTGTATTCTTAGTTGTTAATTGGAACTAGATATTCTAAAAGAAATTCAGAAATTTTTGGTAATGTGGGCCAAAAGTTCATTGAAAAAGCACAATTTTTGAAGACAATATAAAGTGAATTTTCATCTTGATTTGGTTGTCCTTAATGCTGTATTTATTGAATAGATGTTTGAAATGACTGTGATACTATGTGAAAGATGATATAGGCATGGTCAAATTCTTTATATGAATATAATATTGTTTAAATCATGTACAAAAACATAGAAAATGATAAGTGACAGATCTCCAAGACTAGATAGATAGTTATAACTGTTGTTTTTGTTCCTCTATTGCATACTAAATGGTTTACTTCCAATAGATCAATGAAATAATTGTATACAGAATATACTATTGTTTAATATCAGAGTCAGTAGATTGGAACAGATCAGATCAAACTTGTTCTATTATAAATAAAATATTGGATAATCTGAAATTATTAGATTTCATTTGTTATCTGTGGAATGAAAATTGAGTTAATTATTAGTGAAACAACATTAACTACAATCTTAGTCACATTAAGGGGACTATATTCCTTCTTTGAAAGGTTTACAACTTTACATGTGATCCAAATGTAAAAGTATCTAGTTTATTAGATGGCCATGTTTAAAATTGAAATTGAAATAGGGGAAATTGAAGTTGGTTATTGGCCATACAATAGTTTTAAAGTTTCTGTATTTACCATTACCAATTTACAATATTTCTCTATAATATGTTTTATAAGCTCAATAATGATTTATGATGAGCTATTTTGATATAAAATTTCAGTTGAAGGATATATTTTATAAAGTTGACACAAAGCTTTTTAGATGGTAAAATATAGAATCGATCAATACACTTTCATTAGATTACATTGTAAACCAGTAAATTGGAGACCCCCTGATGTTAAATAGATCTGTTATATTTTCACTATAAAGTGAAATGTGTGTGTTATTTTATAGATAATTGTTAGGTCTATTTTACATAGATAATATTTCAGACCAACTCTGAGATCAAATTAGCACAAAATAGGGAATTTGATTCGAAACGTGTTTATGGCTTTTGAGCTTACTTGAAAGATAATTACTATTTATAGATGTACAAAAAATAATATGTTTGGAAAAACAAACAAAATTTGCTTTAGATAAATTGATGGGTAACTAATGATTGTTTTTTCGAAGGGAATGATAAAACCAACTTAAATAAGAATAATTTGATGGACATAGAGGATAGTAAAAATGATGAAATGTCATATCTGGTCAATCAATGTCATGATGTTAAACTTTTAAACCTATATCTGAATTATGTGCGTTGAGTGTCAGTGTGGTTGCTTACTCTTCTTGTGCCTATTGAGTTCAAATGTTTGAAATTCAACTCCTAATTGAGTTCAAATTCAGTTATCTTGATTTACATTAAAAAAAAAAGATGTTAACAACATTTAAAAGATGTACTGGCATGCAGGTCAAATTGAGCAATATTTTAGATTTGTTGAAGATAATCTGATTAGAGCACATCACCTTTTTTAACAATGTGATTTGATGATGAATATGTTTTCCAGGTCTTTAGGATCCAGTTGTCTGGCCCTGAGTAAAAAGGATGAAGGAGTTGAACTTATACCACGAGAAACTTCTCCTGGACAACATGACACACCTGACTCTGAACAGTAAGTTGAACTTTCTTATATCCTAGAACAAGTAGCAAATAGCCTTAAGGTTAATTTCTTGTTAGATTTCTATATCGCTTTACAATTGATGTAGTGAGCAGTATTTTAACAGTGGTATTTCTATATCACTCTACAATATTGATGTATTGAGCACTATTTAACAGAGAATTTTTTGTTATTGTACTTGATATTTTTCTGAACTTTTAGTAAATGTTTAGACTCATTATTAGTAGGACTGTCGGAAATAATCGATATATCGATGTATTGCGATACGGGACACCTGGAAGCAATATATCGATACCGATCTGCGTGTATTGATATTGACGATTTTTTTACTCTACTTTCACTTTTCATGTGCCAGACCCTAGTTGTGGTTGTCGTAATATTTTTCAAAATTGGTGTTGTTATTGATTTAAATAAAATGTAAACGCGTAGTTTTCGTTGTTAAATTTTCTTCCATTTTAAACTAAACTAAATTTACTGTATATGACATTAGTTTTATTTTAATTATATAAAATAATAAAATAAATAATGTAGTAATACATTTTACGACAATAAAAAACTAGTCTATCTTAGGCAGCATGGCAAACCGCTGAAAAAAGGTCAAATTTAGGAGGAATTTGGTCAATAACGAAAAGGGAAAATCTGTGGAAGAACTTTGGATTTAATAAAACTGAGGATGGAATAATACATCGTGAAGCAGCTATATGTAGAATATGTGCAATGGAAATAAAATTCTGCAATAACACTACTAACTTAACAACACATATGCACAGACATCATCCGTCAAAAATGCCGTCTGAAAATGTGCCAAATAGTCAATTAGGTGGTGGGGATAGAGAACAATCACAACAGCGTCAGGAAAACATCCACACCTGTCTTAGTAATAATAAAGTCATACAGCTTCCACCAAATTCCCTAAGAGCTAAAGAAATAATGAAAGTTGCTCACAAATTGGGAAAAAAAGCTGAAATATCAACTGAACGACTTTTCGCAATATATCGCAATACGTATCATAATACAGGGAGATGTATCACAATATATCACAATACGTATCACAATACAGGGAGATGTATCACAATATATCGCAATACGTATCACAATACAGGGAGATGTATCGCAATATATCGCAATACGTATCACAATACAGGGAGATGTATCGCAATATATCGCAATACGTATCACAATACAGGGAGATGTATCGCAATATATCACAATACGATTTTCAGCCGCAATATACGGTCCAAATTATTATACATATGTGAAAATGTTATAATTATTACTCAGTGAACTAATTGAAAAATATGGTATGTCCTTAAAAGATCATTAACATTAAAACATTTTAACATGAAAGTTGTTGGGAAAACAAACAATATTTGTTTTTGTTGATCCGAAACTATGAAAAAACTTCAATAAAAGACTAGATGCCACCACTGTCTTCAAATTCAAACCAGTCATATTTATTCAACCACTAATTCAATATTTATCCTCAGTGCACTCATTCTTCAGGATAAATTTGTTGGATATATTCATGTGCATTGTTATTATATTAATGACAGCAGGAAAAATCTATTCAAAGATGAAGAATAAACTCAACATTTAAACTAGAAATATTGATGAGAAGATGCAGCTCTATTATATCTCTTGTCATATATCTTTGTTTATATTTACATCACCATGACAACAATAGAATTATCAATAATTTACCCTTGCAGAATTAAGGGGGAAAAAAATTGTATAAACACATCAAAAATCAATATCTGTTGCTTCTACTCTATCATCTATTCAAATATTATTTATGTATTTTGATCAGCACTGTGGATTTTATTCTATTTACCAGCCATTTTTTATAGGAAAAACCTATTCATGTCACTGTAATTTTTCACCTAAATGATCCCCTTCATCCTAGAAAAGATATTATTTCAACAGGCAGAAAGAAAGCTACATTTGAATTATTTTCATTAGGGGAGCGTTGTTGTGTAAACCCAAAAATTGTAAGTTTCTAGTCTAAATTATTTAGGTCACAAAATAATTAGTACTTGTTGCTCTTGACCATTATAATTTGTGATGATATTTTACAGTGTACTAGTTGAAGGAAGACAAATTTTACCTAAACATCCTCCAACCGATGCCACTGCCATAAAAGATTTTGACGATGACACTCATACTGGGTTCGAATTTTTACGAGAAGAAATATTTGCTCAAGATGGTGTGTATGAGGAAATCCTCGCCATTGATGATGAAAGGTTTGTACTCAACATTCAGATTAATCAAGATTTTCTAAAGTGAATTTGAATCAGGCACACTGTTAGCATTGATTTGTACTTATTTTCAGGCAAACAACTTGGACCTCACTACAGCAAAAACTGCTATTTAAGATATTATAATGATAATGACGTCAAAAAATGCTTAATTTTTAACGGAAAATGCAAAAACCACAAGCGTCAGACTGAAAATTGAAATCAGTGTCTCCAATGCACGAAAGGTTAACTTTAGAAAACCTTCAAATGATCCCTTTAATAACCAAATTGATATGCTATAATATGTAAACTCAAACTTCGTGGCAATAAAGAGTAGCAGTTGTCTTGTTGCCAGAAAATTTTGAATTTTTGAATTCATAATGAATCTACTTTGGTTTTCAACTTCTTAAAAAGGGTTGCTAAGTTAAATATCTGAATCAAAAAATTTTAAGATCACATGTTTGTTTTGATTAAATGTTTTCTAAATCTATTGCCATTTTTCTGTGTTATAGAATAGAAGATAATGTTGAACCCAAATTGACTGTGTTACCGTCTCGACGTAGAGTTGGTTATCCCCCAATAACGCCCAACGCCTGTATAACTAATAGTGTTATGACTAGGTTGTTTGATACACTATGGAAGGACGTCTTATTTTGGTCCTGGCCAGTTATACAGAAAAATTACCCCCAATTCTTTGATGGTAGGTTATATTTTGATTTCATTATTTCTGTTTCTCTATTTATCTCTACTTCTGTATAAGCAAATCATCTGTTGGCATACATTGTGGAAACTAAAGTTGCTTTGTATGAATATTTGAAGATGGTTTGGAAGATGCATTACCCGGCTCAATTTTAAAGGTTGTGATGCTCGGCAATCTTGTTGTTTGTGACTAAGAACCATATTGTATTAAGAGTTAATGCCCAAATCCTAATGAAGCTACCTTAATGATGTTCGTTTATAAATTCTTTCACTTTTGATGGTTGTATAGTACACTTTATCTTATATCATTTTTAGATGTGATGCAGCAAACTTTAGATGTGAATCCGTCTTCACCACATCAGAATAATCCATCACCAGCCAATCGTCAGTCTTCATTTACATTTAACCCTAGGGTAGGTTGTTGAATTTCTTGTTTTCTTTATTGTTCTCTATGATTTTTCATTTGAGCATGTAAGGTCCAAATTTTGATTTTGGTGCATAGAGCAGTTTTCAGGAACTCATTCTTAAACAAGGTATCAAAACTATGTTTATAAAAGGAAATTTAAAGTAATATGATATAATAGACACAGGTTGTTTTCATTTTAATGGCAGCTATTTAGATATGTTTTGTAAATAAGTTCTGCTAATCCATTGTTTTCTATCTCTTGTATTGTACATTTCAGCACTCATATTTAAGTCAGCGTGCCAACACTCATGCTGGGGGTTCTTTTGATTCACAGAAATCTTTTGATGGTATTTTAAAAATATCTCAAATACCTATTAATTCTAGGTAAGATATCAAAATGATTTTTTTTATAATGTCTTATATCTTACATAATTCACAAATATTATGGTCGTTGGTCTTTTAAATCATTATCTTACATTAGAGAGTGTACCACAAATCACAGTAGTTTGTTTACATTTTATATTAGTAGTTTGTTTACATTTTATATTAATATATTATTATATACCAGTATTATGTCCACTTGCACTAACTCTACACATTTTTTAATGTATTGTGTATTTGTTTGTGTATTTCAGGGAGGATGGAAGTGGAATAGTCCGTCCTGGATCTAGTATTCACTCTAGACAGAGACCAACTACAACAACTTATCGTGTACTGTCCAAATTCGGTGGGAAAGGCAGCAGATTACCTCCCCTTAATGCTTCAGAAAGAAATAAGGTAACCATTCTTCTTTTGTAGAATGATATCATGAAGTGTATTTTGAAAGATAGTGAAAAAGCCTATTGTTGTTTGTGGTTTGTATTTGTTTTAAGTAGGTGTTTAAGTGGAGAAGGCTTTAATATGTAGAGTCACAATGGAAGGTCACACTCACTCCTTGTCAATGATTAAGGTCTAATTTGTCCTTGATCTTGATCCCTAATTAACTAGTATAATGTCATTATTATATTACAGGAAGAAGAAACGCCTATTGATGCGTTACATGTTCGAAGATTAACTCTATATACCAGTGGTGAGAGTATCTCCCCACCCCCTACAACCACAACATATCAACGGAATGGTGCTCTCCCTCCTCTACATGTTGAGGTTTGTGTTTTCATTGATTGAATTATTTGATTTAAGAAACAGAATATTACCATTTTCATTAAAAATGTATGTGCTTTTGTCCTTAACAAAATCTTATACGATTGACAGCATTTTATGCAAAAATTCATGTTTATAAAGCCTCAGGGATTATAGGCAATTATAAGTAATCATCAGGTATTTGTTTTAAAAATTCAATACATTGCACCCAATTCTGTATAATCTATTTTTTTCATCCTTTCTAGAAGGAGCGAAAGAATTATAATCGTGCTAGTAGTGCTGTAGATAATAAAGATGGTAGAAATTATTACAATAATAGAAATTACCTCCCCTTTGATCAACGTCCTAGTACCACACATGCTATGAGAGTAAGTAGTAAAGATTTATGAAAAAAAAAAATAGAATGTATATTTATGACTTTCAACACATATTGAATATTTTTTGTGATATTAGAATATGGTTTTGTAAAGATTATGAATATTGACAATTGTAAATTTAAAATTTTTTAGCAATATTAAAGTATAAATAACAAAGGGTTAATGTACTACCATCAAGCATCGTAGACATTTTGAAAATAAAATGTTTTCTTCTCTTTATAGACAGATAATTTAACATTATTCAGAAGATCGTCCACACCACAAAATCAGAACCAATTTATGGGTTAGTAATATGTGTTATTTTTAATTATATTTCTTACATTTGGTATTGATTATTGACTAGTTGACAGAATGATGACAAGTATATGAATATTGTTGTTAATCTACAGAATCCTAGTTTGATACTAATATACTGATATTCAAGGCCACTATGAAAGCCCTGCTTTCAATTTAAATTTGTTTTCGCATACTATGTTCTTCCATCCTATGATGAGAGGCTTAGAGATGTTACATGATTATCTCAGTAAAAAATAGCCATTCCTTTGATTCATATGATATAAATGTTTGGATTTTTTTTCAGGAGGTCGTCAGTTAAATATTACAGGTAAAAATCTTCAACCATCAGGTGAATATCCTCACATACAACCTGATATAGTTGAAGATCAGGAGGGCTCAATAGAGGATGGAATTTTACAGACCAACAATTGGCGTAAGTTATCTTCTGTCATACAAAACAGATTTATTTTTAGATATTTTTCTTTGCTATTATTTTTTGGAAATTAAGATAATCTACACTAAATGATTTCATGGAATTTTATTGGTCAATTATACTCCAGGCTCTTGTTTGACCAATTTAGCTCGAAATTTTTGTAGTAAAGACTATGTAAATGAGGATTGCAACTTATCCTTATTCTTCTTGTTCTGCTTGTTCTTTCAATTGCTTGAGCTTTTCACATTCTACATATCTTCACTGCTTTATTTATGTGAGCTGGGGTGTTTTGCTTCGGCTATTGCTCTCTAATTTAGAGGGTGTGGGTTTGATTCTTGATTCCGAGAGGGGTCATATTTTTCATGAAAAAAGCTTCTAGTCCACATTTAATGAAGGTTCTGTTGGTACAGGCTCTTTTAGATTAAAGTCACTTGATAGTTTAAAAATTAAACCAGTAGACTAACGTCTGTCTTTTTTTTTTTTTCAATTTAAATGAATTATGTTTATCACTTACTTGAAATTTTGAAATTTTAGGGACAACTTGTATATCTTGGGAGAACTATTGAAATTTAGGGTAAAATTTCACCAAACAGTTTTCAATGTTCAAGCACTGATTGATGCTGATGTATTTTTTATTGCACTGGATTTTTTTTGTTCACTGCAATTGTTTGTGACTGTGTGCCTTTTTTTTTTTTATCATGCCTGCATTATTAAGCACTCATATTGTCTTTAATAAGTTGTGTTGATGAAAAGATTAATTTTGATAATTTTTTGCTTTAATTTTGATTCTTTAAGACGCATAAGGCTTCTGATATATGAATGATTTAAAGCACATTGAGATCAATTTCATTATCAGTGATGTGTGTCAGATTTATAAATACAGGAAATTTAACATCTCTAAAATGATCACTGTATCATTATTTTCAAGGCTGAAAGAATTATGTAACACAACATCAACTTTCATAGAAATTTGAAGAAAAACACACTATAGATTCATATTTTTATTTTTTTCAGCTCAAGGAAATTCGTCCAATAATAATCCGTATAGAAGGAGAGCTCACAGACATGTGATTCAAACGTGACATGTGATTGGCTGATTTGCCACTAGAAACTGTGGTGAATGAACTTGAACAAGAAGAATGAATGTGAAGAAGAATGTGTGTTGAAACATAGTGGGAAAGAAAGATCTGAAGATAGTAAATTAATGTGATACTTTGACTTTGAATTTCTTTTAGGATTTGAAGGATCAGAAAAAAGCCCTCCAAGAGCTCTTGAAGAAAAACAATGTGTTACAATAAAAAAAACATTTAATAACTCAGTAAACAGTTAGTGATAATCATATTTAGTTATTTATGTAACATCCCCACCAAGTTCTGATTAAGTTATAGTTTTGCACACAGAGACTGTTTATTCAGACGTTTGTTGTACCTGTTTCTACATTTGGAAACAATTCAACATCAAAAGTGCTATTTTTGTTGATCGATTTTGTATTTGATGCCCCCATTCTGTGATCTATGTGGAGGTTTTTTTTTTAATGATACAATTGTGATTTGTAAGCAGGAGTAAGTGTTTGGCCATTAAATCTTCTTACATTGATAGCTGAAGCACCTACCTGAATGTCCCCTTTCATGCTCCAAGATATTAGAGAGCTTATCTTTAAATATTGCTCACAAGCTACAAAATAATATGTGACCGTTTCTATAGCATGTCTCAGTTTTATATCTTGAGTGGACCAACAGTTTCACTCTATAAATAAATTATAACACATGGCCATTGTCTTCCCCAGAATCAAGTAGTCTAAACCACAACTAGGTACTTCAGTAATACTTTGAGAAATGTTTTATGTATTTTAATTATCAAAGTTGTTTTAGATGAATTCATGTAATAATGTATTATATTAAAGATACAGTTATAATTATAAGTAATATGATGTAAATAAATCATGAACAATATTGCTGTGTTCTGAAATGATATATAATGTGTAAGCTTTCTAACTGTGCAAATTATAGCTTTATCACATTTTCTTTGGAATATTTGATGGGCTCTGTGTCAGGGCCAGTCAGAACATTACATCATTTGATTAGTTATGTCAAACAAATGGTGTTTGCTGGTTCTAATCTCAGTCAGCATGTGAATGTCTAGTGACCTTGAATATTTTCATTATTCCAGTCAACCCAAATGGTTACTGATAATTTGAGAAAGAACTATGGCAAGAGGTTTGGTCAAGGACCTAAATTGTTATCTTTGTAAAATAGTTTTCTTTTTTCTTGACTGTTGTACTTCAACCCTGGAAATATTGTCGACATGAGGGAATTTTGAGCGATTTTAAAATTCGTTGTGATCAGCTGATAAAATATGCTTGTTTGCCCTCAGCATAAGGGAAACGAACATAAGACTACCAGTAAATAGCTCTACTATGAAATAACGAAACAAACTACAATTTATAGTAATAAGAGTTATTTCTCTTTAATTTCACACTGTACAGTAACATTAATAAACTTTTTATAGGAAAAATTATTCAAAAATCTTCATAAATATTTTCATTATTAAATTAAATAAATAGTAAACTGCATGAAGGGTTGGAAAGCTGAAAATCTAAAATTTCAGATTGCAATGGAACATGGAATTGGCTAGTTAGTTAATTTACAAAATACATTATAATTGAAGCTTTGATTATCAAGTAAAATAACTAATGACATATTTGAAGCCAATCTAACTTAAATCTTCAGCCATCGATATTCACAATACACATAAATAAACATTTATTTCTGACATTAATGCAATAACATCAACCCTTAAATGATTATCTTCGTAACAAAAATCTAAAAAAAAATTTACATATAAGTATACAAACATGTACAAAAACAAATACAAAACTGGTAATAATTAAGGCAAATTAAGAGATTTTACTATGACATAGGTAACTTCAACATTATTACAATATACCAACCCTTGTCTGAAAATTGTACAGAGTTCAGTGGTATCCTTCAGCAATAAGACTTCTTGTCATTATTCTTATCAAATCAAATACAATTTCACAGTGTCCGAAAATATATTAAAGAAAAAAATAACTATGATTCCAAACTCAACTATCTTCACAATGATAACTTTATTCCATTAATAAATATGAATTGAAATGAATGGAGTTTTACGTCCTACTTTTCTGCACCATGTTTTATTCCATTAATAAGACATATTGCAGTTGTCAACCCTTCAGTTTTCAATACATGAATCAATTAATTGAAATAAGAATGCCTTAGTGATCAAGAGGTAGACCTAATATATAATACTATCAAAATACTATAACACTTCAAATAATTCTTTCAACACCTTTTGACCTGTTCCATTAACTTATTTGAAAGAATTCATCATTAACAGGATATAATTATCATATATATTATTGAATAGATCCATTTTATGGTCATCTCTTTAGGAACAACACTTGACATGCCCTTATCTAAGAGAAAAAATTCAAATATGTGACAGATTACAAAATAACAAAATTACAAAAAAATCATGCTTCTTTTTGCATATGAAAATTTGAATCAAAACCACTAAATACATCAATGACTAGGGAATGGTAAATAAATGTTTATATAATATCAGTTGGCATGTGATAAAAAGCTTGTATTTATCTATATTTTACACAGGTGCTTGTTTTAATTAAGTTAAGGATATCAGGTATTCATGCTTTGAAAATGTGCAAACAATTTTAGGTTTATAAAATATCAGTGTAAAATTAGATTTAGTACATCCAGGAAAACTTCTCTTTAATATCTCTTGAAGAATTAACACGATACATATTATTTAACCAGAAATTGATTAAAAGCCATGATGAATATTTCTTAATGTTTAACACATAATGTTTACAGGTTCCAGCCCTTGGACAGCTTATAACTTTTCATCAGCATAACTTGCTATAATGTGGGAAATTCCGTTAGCGTTTGAATGATAATGTGACAGGTGTACTGGAAAGTTTGGTATACATGTATTACATTATTAATGAAGGGAAATATACAAATACAATAATCTATGGAGTTAACTTAAAACACTGACATAATAATCTTTCAAAGGCATAATAGTTATCATTAACCTAATCAATTTAACCAGTATTAGTCCAAACAGGACCTCTGTTTTACTAATATGGATTGGTTACCGGTAAGCCAATCTGGATTTTTCAAATAATAGTTCTCATCTTTTTGTTTATACACAAAATCATGTTCTGGCCCAAAATATGGAGTATTACAGGGATTGCAAACAGGTGTAATGACATCACAAATTGTGAAGGCCTTATGTGATAAAGCATATTTTGCGACTAATGACATCATCACTTACTTAGTTTTAGTGGAATCGCAGGAAGCGCAGACATCTGATCGAAATTGAAATTGTGCAAATTGACACGATCAGTGTCCCTGACACACATTAAAAATTTAGAAAACCTCCTTACAATCCCTTTAAAGTTCAAGCTGAGTCATATGATAAGGCCACTATACTATACAGAAGTAACTTATTCTAAACAAGTCTTTGGCTAACCATATTACATAATCATCTAATAAAATACACAGTAACAAGAATTACTCTCTCAATCATAAAGGAAAACTTAAATGAAAATTACAAATTTGTTAATAAATAATTTAGTTTGACAATAGTGGTATAGTGCTTTAGGTATTGTGCTTAGATTGTGTGTGTTGTTTTTTTTTTTTACCTCAATAATTGATTTTGCTTTTCATCATGGTACTCTCATCTATAAAAGTGGGATATCTAAGTTGGTACATTGATTGCTCTCTGCTGGGCAGTAACAGAAATTTGAGAGCCAGACCAGAGTCGCCTTTCCAACATTTACAATCTTTCTTTATAAATTTTCTATGCATTCAACCACACAACTACGAAGAATATCAAATCACTAAAAAATCATGACGTGATAATATTTTGCTATGAAGAGAAAAAGAAGTTGAGAGCACGATTCACATCATAATCTGCAGCTAATGATACCCTGACCAACTCATCTCGTGGTACGGAATCACCTATTATATCTCGTAACGCTGAGAGACAGAACTCAAGGCGTGTTGCATCTTCCATAAAAGGTAAATCTTCTGATGAAGAGGAGGAATCTCCAGGCTGCAATTTAAAACAATTTCCAGTTTAACTGTAGAACTCAACAAATCATACAGTACTACAGTACTTGATGACTGAGAGAAGTTATTTTAAAACTAAGATTGTGGGGTAGAGCAACCACACAAATAGTGGGAGACTGACTTGTTTCTTTAAAGGAATACTACCTCTGAGAATGAACAAAAAATTTTAAAGTCTCAAACTTGTTACATAAGAGTACATATTCATCAGATAGACTTTTATACCTTTAATAGGGTATACATATGGGAAGGCTTTTGTATATTCAATCTAGGTTTATGAAAAGTATTAAGGAGTATTAAGTGATAATTTATAAGCTACCAAAAGAATGAATCATTTTCATCAGTACTGTTTTCAGGTTCATACATCATAAAATGCATATGTAGTCTAGGTTTTAAACCTTGAGTGGCTCTAATAATATTCTGATAATAAGCTAAGAACGGAATAAATAACCTTCATTCCCTCCCCCCCCCCCCCCCCCCCCCCCTCTAACAACCTGCTTAGAACATACTTACTAGAGAGCAGCCTAGATCAATATTAGATGTTAAATCTTCTGTATCACTAAAACTTGATGGTGAGCTATTGGTATCTCGTAGACCACTAGCATTCCTTGTTTCTAAACCATTCCATGTAATAAAATCTCCTATTTCAGCTTGTAAATGGTCTGGTAATTCACAGAATTCCTCATTATTTGATATATTAGGATGTTCTACTATATAGTTTATTGTATACTCCTTCAAATATACACAATATAATACATCAAAAGAAGGGTATTACATAAATCTATATACCATATAGATAGATATCTAAATACACATTACAATTAAAAATATTTACAAAAAGAAAAATTCTTGGAGTAGACAAAGACGTAACAGAAATAAAGAATGAGAGTAGGTTTACAGCTCAGTTCAATTCAAATATCTAACAAAGATTCATACATAAAAGTTTGTTTGAGCTCCCCTTTTTCCTTAATTTTATGAAAATTTACACCAGAGACTAACACAAAATACTTAAACCTACTGAACAGAAGAAGTTACCTACCCTGAGATTTTTTGCATGTAATTGATCTGCTAGGCTGAATAAACATAACACATTATCCTCATCAATATGATGTTTTAAACAATGTTCACAAAGTAACTTTAAACTATCCATCTACAAATTAAATCATACTTTATAATTCATAAACAATATTGTTCAACTTTGAAAAAATAGATCGATTTGCAACTTTCTAATTTTCAGTCAGATATCTGTGGGTCTTAGAATTCTACTAAAACTAAGTGTTTTATGATGTCACTATCACAAAGCTGCTACAAAATTATTAGTAAATACATCATTATAATATGGTTAAGCATTTCTATAAATGAAACCACAGACATCTGATTGAATATTGAAAATGATGCACATTGAAGCCAGGAATGGTCCTGATATGTACATAAAAAAAGTTAAGAAGGTCATATTAACTATAACAAAAAAAATTTCACAATTAAAATAATGCTCCATACAACAATTGTAGAGCGATATAGGATCAATATCTAAAGCGGGCACTATTCACATTGACCTGCAAATCCGAGAAATTTGAGCCAACTAAGAGGATGTAGAACATCTTACCTCATATCTATCACAGAGTGTTAACATATCGGCTAATTGTTCAGCTGTAATGTCCTGACTATCTAATTCACCAGTATAAATATATTTTAAAAATAACTCAAATAATTCAGGGTTAGTATCATGTACTACTATTTTTCTGAAAAATACGAACATAGCTCAAATTACACTTATCTCTAATCACTTTACCTTCCACAATCTCATCAAAAATAATTATTTTCCTAAAGGATTCAATTGATAAGCCCTATTGATAGTCATTGTGACAGAAGATAGTAAAATCTGTTATAATTTAATAAGCAAGGTACAAGATGTTCACTGATCAAATTTGATGACTGTAAAACAGTAAATAATGTGTAACATAAATTATTTAACAACCCAACAAAAATTAGCACATAAATATTTTATACTCATAAAGCTAGAATTCCAAGGATTAAATATCCTATTGTTGACTTACTTGTCTATAGATTCTCTCATTCCACTTAATAAAGCACGTCTAAACCAATCACATCTAGCTGACACTATAACACAGTGAGCAGGTATTTCAACTTTCTCTATAGACTCGGCACCTTGACCTGGACTAGCTACCTGGGTATGATCTATCACAATATCACCATTACATGGTCCACTTTCTGAATCACAAAATATAGATTTTACATGGTTTCTCAATAATAAGCATCATTTATGGCCATGGAACATTTTTTTATTAATCTACTAAAATTACATCCCACAAAAGCATAAATTTGAATTGATATGAATGTGATGACCTTCTACACATACCAACTTAACAGGCTTGCTGTTTATGTTATAGCATTCAAAGCAAAATCTTAAAATTGTGCAATAGTTTCATTGTCCTAAGTGTACAAACAGGAGTTTATAGCTTTATTTAGCTAATTTTGTGATGTCCAATTGCTAAGTCTTGTGACATGTGTCTACAATGAATACTAACCTGGTACTATTTGAAAGACCATATCTGTATTAGATTGTGATTCAAAAAGTTGTTTAGATTTACTGGCTAATATACTGTCGTGTGAGAGAGGTGGTAGGCATAGTGATTCTAATGTACTTAACTGAAAAATGAAATATATTTCAAACAATTCAAGATGCTGTCTATTTTGTATGCTGTCATTTAAAGCAGAGGTTTAAACAGTAATCTTTAGTGATAATACTTTATTTGACACTGACTAATAATGAAGCCAGTTTGGTAATCAAAATTTGCCAATTATTTCGAAGAATTTTCATATAAACTGCAAAAGAGTGATATTCTTGATCTTTTAGTTGATATAATTTATATTGAATAGAAATACACTTCCATTCCAGAAAATATAAAAAATTTTGCTGAAGTTTTTCTCTGTAAAAAAAATTTCAAAGTGATAATGTATGCTATAGGTTTGGTAGTTATATTGTAGTAAATTAAGACAGAAGAATTATACCTGTGCATATTTGGAGATTGGGATTTGATTGATTTTGGTACCAACAGCAGCTCCCTCTGTTGAGGATTCAGTTGCTGTCAGACCTAATGTTGCTAGGGAGTTGGTAAATTGATCACGATTCACAATATCACAGAGCTGGTCAATCAAGGATTGTAATGTAGCCTTGTTTGACAAGACTTTTCCTAAAACCCATGCCTAGAAAAAATAGAAAGCATATTAACTATCCCTGAAGAAAGTTAGAAATTAGTATATACCAAATTCCATGAATGTTAAAAACATCAGGTGTAAACTGAATGAAAGAAAGTTTAAAAGAATCACATTAGAATTCTAAATGATTCCAAATACAAATAAGCTGTTATATTATAGAGTTATAAATGTTTTATCCAGCAACCATGTGGTAATATTTCATTATATCTATGACAATAATTATGATAGCATACTGTTTTAGATGTAGCTAATTTAAATAGATATTTCCATTCTCTCCATGGTAACTTCTCAGCTGAGCTTTCTAATTCTTCTAATCTTATTAAAAACATTGGACACTGAAAATATCAACACTATAAATAATCATAGGAATGATTGCTTTACGACATGTTTCATTTGTCTCAGGGTTAAAATCCATGTGTAATGTACATATTGTAGCTGACAATGTATTTCCTTTATGATAACTTGTATTGATGAAAGTATAAATGTAATTTCTCTCATATTTGTGCATGTTTTGTCTGAAGAATAAGAAAGCATGAAAGAGACAAGTTTGTAATAGACATTACTGATTTGACAATTCTAGATTTACTACTAAACATTTTTCACAACAATAATTTGCCAGGGTTATAAACTAATAAAGTTTCTTAGATAAAATAATGTTATTACCTCATCAATTAACTGTTCTAGATTTTTAGAAATTGAGCGAATTTTTTCAATTTGAGTCATACCATTAAAATTTTCTCTGTAAATAAAAGAAGAAATGTTACTTATGGAACATATAAGTGGTGACAACTTGATAATGAATATCATTATTTTTAGAAGTAGTACGAATTTTGACACATTTTCCACAAAGCTCCTATGCATAAATACCAGTTTAGACAAATATCCTAGTATTAAATATAATTGTTGTTAACAACACTTTAAAGTAACATGCCTATTTTCAAATTAGAGAAAAACATTCTATATGAAGAATTATATTTATTTAGTTGAAACTTACTTTTTTTGCATTAAATGCACAAAACTGGTACTTGCTCTATCATGGAAATCTTTTAATTTCTTTAACTCTTTCACATGTAAAGCCTGAAAACACAGAAATGTCTTTTTAAAAACAACGAGAGGGAGAGAAACTTGTAAAAGAAGAGTTAAGGCCTGTAAGTCTCATAATGGGACTGTTCTCTGAGAAATTCTATATCCATGGCAGTATGTTTGTTTAGAAAATGAATAAAAACACCTACATTTCTCAGTTTTTTACCCAAAACATCTCTAACATGATGCTTCTTGGATTTTTCAGGTTTTTCTGTTTTATCTCCATGATTACTGTTATTTATGACTTGTTCTAAAGCCAGCTTAGTTTCCGTGGCAATATGTGTAATTTTCTCTATTACTTCTTCAAGCTGCAAAATTAATTACATAGCATTGTTAAAAGTTTGCCAATAATCAAATATGGTAGTTAGAAATAATAAAATGAAATTGAATCATTATTTTGCCATTCAGCACAAGAAACAGTCACCAACTTGACTATTTTAAATTTTAAGGGAATTGATAGCTGTCATTTGGATAAAATTTTTGTTGTAATTTTGGAAGTGTTTAATCAATAGAATAGAAAATAAAGTTTAGGCAACAAAAATTAGTAAAAATATATTTAAATTTTCTAAAATGCATCTACTGGCTGTTATCTGCAACATGAAACCTCCAGTAGCACAAGTTTTAAAATATTAATTGTCACATACCTCTGGTACTAAATATGATGCTATATCTACTTTTCTTGATGAGGACAACCCTGATGAATGGTGACGTACAACTTCTAAAAACCGATGGAGTTGATTCATAAATACTGGGATTCTACAAAAGTAGGAAAAATAATTATGATGAATTATCCCATGTTACATAAACATAACATTCCATTGGAACACAACATAATCAAAATAAGATCAAGTTTTCAGTCCTGTTCTATTGAGGTCAACCTTATCTCACAGTTAACTTTATACATCTTATTTTTGTGGCCAAAAGGGAATTACCTTATGTAATTGTGGTCTGTAAATAATCAGTCTTGTTTATTCTTTTAATTTGTATTTTTGTCAAAAGCTCAAAATCAACACAAATATTGAATATCAAAACTGTGATAATAATTAAATTATAAATGTAAAAGATGAAATAACAGAAAGTTACATGACAGAATGGTGCAGTAATTCATCAAGGTGTTGTTAATATATCAAGACAGATTTACTTCTGGTTGTTAGTATTAAACTCACCTTGATTTTGCATATTTCATAATTTCATGTCTCTCTTCTCGAGACAATTCACCCTTCCTTCGTGAAAATAAATCACATAACATCAATAACTTGGCACATGCTGAAAAGAAGAAATACCTGGTTGTATAGGTAAGGTAAAGATAGTGGACCACAGCCATATACGCCCAACGTGGCATGCGGATGGTAAATATTAATGATTTTGGGGAAAGAGCAATAACTCTGCTTTTTATTCGAACTTGATCTTCGTTTTATGAATATGTCTATATATCAATTTCATTGATTCCATCAAAAAATCTAGTTTTCAGAGCGTTTACAAGCAAACGGACGGACGTACAGGGGTGCCGACAATATACGTCCACATAGAGAGATGTGGGCGTATAAAAACTATTTACCTAATAAGTTTACATATTAATCTAAATTTTAAACGTGGGACTCTTTCTTGCACAATGCAAATATAAATATTACACAAAAAATGATATGAACTCGCAAAGCCTCTTTGAAACATTTTAAAAGCAATTTATACTCATAATGCATATCTTTAATATCTATACAGATATATACCTGTAGACTAATTGTAATAAATAATAATATCAATTGGACAACTTACCTACTGAAGCCTCTCTAAGACCCAATCTAACAGTACAACACAGTCTGGCTGGATCAGACATTAAACCATCCTCTAAAACAGGTTCTCCTTCAGAGTTGACACCTGTTACTTTACCAGTAAATAATTCTATTATTCTATCAGCACAACCATGCATATCAGTTATTAAACTTATTATTTCTGAAATGATTAAAGGTCAAAGGTCAAATGTCAGTAATGAACTATTCATAGAATTATCAAGGTAAAATAGTATAGGTATATAATAAAGGAAGGTATCATCTTCATAAAGACTGTATTCTATTGTGGAATACATTTGAATGTTTAATATTAGTTTATCATTGAACACTGTTTTTTTATCAGTTGTCCTTTTTCTACTTTTGTTAAATGTTTACAAATTTAGAAAATAAAATGGATCATCAAAAACATTCCCTTACGTTGTTTCAAGGCTGTATTTTTTAAATATGTTTCACATAATTCAGAAAACTTTGAGAATCCTGGTAATTTTCCAACAGATTTAATACAATTTTTGACAATGTCTTCTGTTAGATCTCTTGGTAGACATTCAGCATAAAGATAATGTAGAGTTGTGCGCAGGACATCTTCTCGTAACCCTGTAAGAGGAGGTGGCTGACATGACCAGTCTAATTCTGCTGCACCAAGTTTCAAAATTGTACTGTGGACATGAAACTGCAAAGATAAATGATTTTAAACTTTTCATCACAAAGTAACATTTATAAGATTCAAACAAAACTAATATATGCTGCTTTTGGCTTTAGTGCTAAAGGTAAGCAATACAGATTTAGATTTCAAACCTAACCATGCTTCTCTTCACTACTTCAATTTTTTTCAGGGATATTTCTGAAAGCTATTCCATTCATTCCTGTCAGCAGTCTAGTTATTCATTTGGACAATATTTACAAGGAAGGTTTTTCAATGTGATATAGAAACCATAAACTTACCTCCTTTCCATTATCAGCCTTTATCACCAAATCATAGAAATAGCCTTCTTCTAAGGCTCCCAAAAATGAGAAGGGTGCATCATCTTTTGGATCATGTGACATCACCTAAAAAAATTATATAATCAATAAAAATGTCAAAATTTTTTATAACTTATTTTTTGTACCGTATAAGGCTAATTAAATGAAATTAACTTTTATTTAGTTTTTTTTGTGCAGAACTTGATCTGAAAAAGAGGTATAATTCCCCAATACCCACAGCTTGAAATTGTACATTACCTTCTGGCATTGTAGCATGCAACATCTTTCATATGTTAACAGCATCAGATCTCCTGCTACCTCAATCTGTAACAAGGTATAAATTGTCAGACAAGCTTTAAATTAATTGAGAATTGGGTTCATTCGGATGTGAAATGTTCTGTTGATATTATTTTCTAAATGCTGAATCAACATACCATATTCTCTTTTGATTGTATAAAACATAAGTTACTAAAATCAGTCATAATGCTGAAAAGTTTCAATCTTAGAAAATGGACTGACAGTGGTAAACTACGAAAACTGGGAATGTGAATTCCAAAGACATGGCATCATATGTTTTACATTGCTTCATACGAATTGAAACCATGAAACCTAATGGGCTCTGTCACCTTGCCATCACATTGTCACTCTGCCATCACACTGCAATCACATCACCTTGTCATCACAATGTCACTATACTATCACACTTTCACCAATCTCATGGTCACCCTGGCTTCACACTGTGACCCTGTCATCATACTGTCAGCCTGTCACCCTGCAATCACATGGTCACCCTGACATCATACTTCACCCTGCAATCAAACAGTCACAATGTCATCACACTGTCACAATGACATTCTGCAATCACCATGTCACCACCCTGCCATCACACTGTCATCAAACTGTCAAAATGTCAAACCAGTCACTCTGTCACCAAACTGTCAATACACAGTCACCCTATCATCACACTGTTAAAATGTCACTCTGCCATATCACTTTCCATGTGTAGGACAAATACTTACTTTAAATTCAATAACATGTCCAGCAAATGTACCAATAAACTTTAAACAAGCTCTGTTACTTCCTTTTTCAGGGGTCACCTATAAAAAAAACAGGTAATCTACACCAATGTCATTTATAGATATTATGGAAGAGTTGACTTGACAATGACAAATACAAAGGTAAGATACAAATCACGTAGCCTGTAACAATTTGAAAAATGATGAATGTCAATAGTCTTTTCAATCATGACCTCCACCCAGCCTCTTCCAAAATCCTACCTCGTAAGTCTCACAGTTAAAGAAAGGCATCTGTTCAGCATCTTCCGAAATCTTCCAGGAAACATCCCCATTTTCATCCAACAAAAATTCTGTCCTATAGAAAAAGATTAATAGATTAATGTTGAACAATCTGGTCGGTTTCACAGTCTTCACATTCAAGCAACACTCTATTGATTTTGGACACCACTGTCACATGTTAGACTATAAATTTCAAAAGAGACAGAGAATAAACTGCAAAAGTGGGGCACACAGAAAAAGTGTCTTGGCATTCTGATTGAAGAATAAACTGTAGGCTGTGTATCAATATTCAATAATATTTTAAAATAGAAATGTTCAAAAATACATGGCAATGCAATGTCAGTCTTCATTGACTCATACATGAATCAGAAATGAAATGAAACGAAAATTTTGTGATATTGGGACTAGGCCTATGATTTAGAATGAATACAGAATAGGCTAAGCTAAGAAAGCATTACCGGTATCTGTTTCGTTTTATATTTTATTTCTAATGGATGATAGGCTTGAGAAGCAGAGTTTCACATACATGTACCTACATAATTATTGCAATACTATCTTAAGTAACAATATAAGGTAAAGAAAAATCTAATGTCAGAACGGGCAGAGGAGCTCCAACATAATAATAAAAAATAGGCATTTCTGTCTGTCTAGTACAGTACCGGTACTAGTTGTAAAAATAACAAATATTCTTTATTTCATCATTTAATTGACAAATCTTGTTATTTCAAAAAAATCAAAAAGATTTGATAAAATAGAACTTAATGGAAAAGGCTACGCTTTTTGGCGATGATAAAACAATGAACAAAGATAAGGAAGTGAACTCGGAAACTGAGCGCTCATTCTCTATTTCACTTCAGTCACCTTCCTCTCGTCGGCTGAAAAATCAATCCATACTCACCCTTCAACTCCCGTCGTTTCTACAACTCCAGCCAATGACACACACTCTACAATCTAAAAAATATAAAGATAAAACAATTAAGATAACGATGCTTCGCATTATTGGCTCCATCAAAAGAAAGGAATCGTGAAATATCAACATAAATCTCACCCTCCATGTTCCGTAATACAGCGATTCTTCGTCCGCCATGTTGGTGTTTACATTATTCGCGCATGCGCTGAGATGTAAAAAAAGGAGTTACGTTACTGAAAATAGAAATTACAAAACTTTTATTGACTAAATGAATTAAAAATTGCAATTATTTAGAAATGACGTGTCTGAACATTCTTTATTAATGTCTCACAACATATTCGGCGCTACTTCACTTATGGACCCCTTTATGATTTTAATTTTTTATCTACTAAAATACGACAGGATGTAGTTCAAGACTCTATTCTGAGTATTCTTACCAAATTTCATCTCAATCGGATAATTTTTCCTGCTTTAAATCGATTTTTTTGTTCTTAAATATATCGGCGAACATGCAGCAGAGAATAAATTAGTATGATTACAGAGCGGCCTGAAACTCATTAGCCTACATTCAGGCCCTCTGCCTAGTGTAGTTGCATCTTCACAATGTCAAGCTATTTCGAACTCTATCTAGGCTAATATAGTGATACCTTGACATCCATGGGAACTTTTCTTGTATTACAGAGAAGTTGGCAGCGATTTGCATATATTAATAAGGGATCTCGACTAGGCTAGTAATTACTCGCGCGTCAGGACCTCTGGTTGGTTGTATCATGCGCTTGTTAGTAATACCTTGACATTGTGAAGATGGGTAGTCTATATACCAGCATAGTTAATTAATACGCTGCTTTGATTCCCAGTCAAGGCCTGTTGCCCAAAGGATTACTACCTCATAGAATGGACATACAATTTAAAGTATTGCCCTTTAGGCCTGTCAAGTGCCACGACTATGACATATATATCTAAATAACTAACCAAATCCAATTTCTATCAATAACAGGCTCCAATACGAGCAATAGGGCCTAGTTATTTATTTAATCTTCAGTTAATCCTTTTTAATTCATTTACTTATATATAAAATTTAATGTAGTGTATCTATAATCTCTTTGTCTCTTGTGTGTTCTTAATAATAAGCATAATGTATTATATAGTTTGCCAATCACTTCTTGTCATTATGTGCCTGAGGACGACGGAGGAAACACATCGAAACGTTGCATAAAACTTTAACCAGTGATTGTTGTTCCATAAAGCTGTGTCTATATCATACTCACAATTGCTAAATGACATTCAAAGACTTTATATATCTCTGTACACGATACCATATCCATTGAGCTAAGTAGTTATTGAAAAACGCTTCTAAGTATGTTATTTTACTTTCAAAACGCTCACTGTGATAAAGGCCTACAACCCTACAAACAACTTCACAATGTAGAGCTACTTCGAACTATGAACATACTTGCATCTGAAACAATTCAACCAATCATTGCATTGAAAAAATTTCTGTATCTACAACGACCAAACCAAAAAACCAAGAGATTGCAAAGGGAGAGTTTCTGGATAAACCAGTTAAAAACAGTTGTACCTAACGGCCTAAATCTACAACATGACAATCAATTTATATACCTTTCGTTGCCACGTAGGCCTACAATTCTATAACAGTTAAAAATTGCTCTATGATTGTCAAACACTTTTATAAAGAACTCCGGGACGAATTTCCTAATATCTATACTAAACGTTTGGTGACTCTTACAAAAGGAATAAAATCTGAGTAACAGTCTTGTCCATGATAGATTAGATCCCTTTCATTAGCAGAGGGGGCAAAATGTGTCAAATGAAGAGACCCCTGACACTGACACTTCCACGTTCTCGAGCCCCTGCTACGCCTGAACCGGAAACTTTGCAACCGGCACCAAATTCTACAGAACCTGCCACAAATTCTCCAATAAATCACCAGACAAGAACCTATAGACCTTACATCAAATTACCAAAATTGGAATTGAAAAAATTTGATGGTGAATATTCCAAATGGCAAACCTTTTGGGACTCCTTCAAATCTTCTATTCATGATAATGACAGCCTGACACCAATAGACAAGTTTAATTATCTTCTTTCACTCCTGGAAAAAACTGCTGCAGACGCCATATCAGGATTATCTCTTACCGCAGCCAATTATCAAGAAGCTATATCTATTCTACAGCACAGATTTGGAAACAAGCAAAATATCATCTCCAACCATATGGAAACCCTGTTGAACACAGAACCAGTGACATCTAATCACAACACACGATGCCCTAGGCAACTTTATGACGCAGTGGAATCGAACGTAAAAAGTTTGAAAGCCCTTGGAGTCACATCTGAAACTTATGGAAGTCTTCTCTCTTCAGTTCTTATGAATAAATTACCACATGAAATGAGACTGGTTGTAAGTCGTGAAACTAAGGAAGACCAATGGAAATTAGATCAACTACTTGAAGTCTTTTGTGATGAATTAGAGGCCCGAGAACGCGCCAGATCAACTTCTACTAGACCAAGTCAGCAACCCCAACCCTTAAATCAGAACAAGAAACACTCCTACTATACCAAAGGACCTGGGCCAGCAACTGCAACAGCTCTCTACACACAAGAATCATCTCAAGGACCAACCTGCACCTACTGTAGAAATAGTCACCCTTCAGCAAGCTGCAAAACAATTAGTAACGTCGATGCAAGGAAAGACATCTTAAGGAAATTTGGAAGATGTTACATATGCCTCCGCAAGGGCCACAGATCTAGAGATTGTCCTACCGATATGAGATGTACGCAATGCGAAAATCGTCATCATGTCAGTATCTGCCCGGCGAATTGAAGCGACAAAGGTAGATTACCACAACAACAACATGGAAACTCTTCAAAATACTCCTACAATCAAACCCCTAACCCACAGACTCGGCAGGATGGAAGTAATAATAGCTCGAATGATTCCTCTATTACCATGCACTCTTCATCATCGTCCTGTCCAATTCTACTACAGACTGCAAGAACCTTCATCTACAGACATGGCCAGCCCCAAAATGGAATGTTTGCTAGGATGATATTTGATAATGGTAGCCAACGTACATATATAACCGAAAGAAGTTCGAAAGCTCTTAACCTGCCAGTAATCGGAAGACAAACCATCAAAGTCAAGACCTTTGGAACATCTGAAGAAATTATACAAACTGTTGATGTTGTCGAATTCTGCGTGAAGATTGAAGGTTCTACAGATATGAAAATAACAGCCTATGTAGTACCACATATATGTGATTCCCTTGAAAACCAATATGTTGCTCAGACACATAGAATCTATCCCCATATATCTCGACTTTGGTTAGCAGATTACACCTTCGGTGGAGACTGTCTCCCCATTGATATTCTTATTGGATCTGACCAATACTGGAACCTTGTTACTGGCAGAACGGAACGGGGGGAGGAAGGACCTGTGGCAATTCACACCAAAGTAGGATGGTTATCTCTGGACCGACCATGGGAACAGGAATGGATACGCAGAATACAAGAAACAACCTCATCACAACGCATGTTTTAAAATGTTCGTCGCAAATTACCAAAACAGAAGAAAACATTACCTCGAAACTCATACAGTTTTGGGACTTGGAATCCATTGAAATAACTTCGAAATCTGTCTATGAGGAATTCCTTGAGAAGATAAATTACAATGGTAAATACTATGAAGCAAGCCTGCCATGGAAATCTACGCATCCTCTTTTGCCTGATAATTATGACTTAAGCCTAAAACGACTAAAAAATCTTCTAAAGCGCCTTCAACGAGAACCTGAAATTCTTAAGGAGTATGACAACGTAATCAAGGACCAACTGAAGAGAGGAATTGTTGAAGTTGTTGATATACGAAAGCTGATACTCCGAATGGAAATATACACTATATCCCTCATCATGCCGTTGTCAGAAGGGAAAAATCGACTACTAAGCTGAGAATAGTTTATGATGCTTCTGCACGATCGAATGGACCCTCTTTGAATGATTGTATACATGCAGGACCAATACTTACTCAAAAGATAATGGACATCATCATTAGATTTAGAACTTACAGAATCGCACTTACTGGTAACATAGAAAAGGCTTTTCTCATGGTGCGTATCGCAAATGAAGACACTGATGTTTTGAGGTTTCTTTGGGTAGACAGCATTGAACAGCAGAATATAATAACCCTAAGATTCACCCGAGCTGTATTTGGTGCTACCTCAAGTCCTTTCCTGTTGAATGCCACGATTAAACACCACATGGAAAAGTATGAAGAAGATGACTAAGAGTTCGTGAATCTCCTCAAATCTATCTATGTTGATGATGTTACCTCTGGATCAAATACCCCTGAAGAAGCCTATCAATTTTATGTAAAATCTAAAATGAGACTATCAGAAGCTGGATTTAACCTAAGAAAGTTCTTGACTAACTCAAAGGAATTATTTGAACGAATCACCAAAAATGAAGAAATGTCCAGCGTAGAGTCAAAAACTGATTATCCAAACCTCGTTACCGAAGAAGACGAAACCTTTACAAGAACTTCCCTCGGACTACAATCGGCAGATATCCTATCATCTACTGAACAGAAAATCCTCGGATTAAGATGGGATTACAAACCTTGATGAATTCATATTTGATCTGAGTGATATCTTTCAAGAAGCAACATCAATTGAGCCAACGAAGAGAAGCGTTATAAGTATAGCCTCCAAGTTCTACGATCCTTTAGGATTTATTTCACCAATCATAGTTCAATTCAAGCTATTGTTCCAGGAATTATGTAAGGATCAACGAGATTAGGATACACCTTTAGATGGAGACAGCTTACACAAATGGAACAACTTAGTTACGGGATTAGAAGGCATGAAACCTATTCACTTGCCAAGATGTTACCTTTCCGATGAAGCCGTTGATGCCTACCAATTGATTGGTTTCTGTGATGCCTCTTTAGTTGCATATGGAGCTGTAATGTATCTTAAATTAACAACTAAAAATGGTATCTTCACGAAGTTTATTGCCTCGAAAACCAGAGTATCTTCCATCAACAAACAGATTATCCCACGCCTTGAATTGTTATCCGCACTTGTACTATCTAGACTTTTGACATCAATCAGATTAGCCTTTGAACCTGTTATGACTCTACTGAATCCTGTCTGTTATTCTGACTCCAAAGTAGCCTTATACTAGATA